CCAGCAGGACAAGGGGGGGCCGGTGGCCAGGACAGGGCTGTCCCAGGCTACAAGGGGACAGGGAGGAGGGTCCCCCCTTGCGGGGCAGGACCAGGGCTCCCTGGTGGGGGGGGGGGTCCTTGATGGGGCCCTTAACGAGGACCTCATTAATGTCCCCCACCTCAAAGCGGGTTGCGGGCAGCTCGGGGGGTCCCGTTAGGACCAGGTGCTGGGAGGCTTGACCCCCCGATCCCCCTCCCCTTTTTGAACGCGGAGACCTATGGAAAGCATCTCCTGCCCCCTCCCGGAGCAGAACTTCAGCCTTTCCCTTCGTTAGGCTCTATTAGCACTTGATTAAGAGCTTAAAAACCCTAGAAGCAGAAAGCGCGGTGTAGTGCACAAAAATAAGCGGCCTAATTGTGTAAATGTGCGGAAAAAGGGGAAAAAAACCCGCCAAGTTTTGCTGCCTTCCCGCGGAGGGCAGGGGTGCAGGGCAGGGAGCTGCTTGTAGGCGTTAGCTCCAAGGGCTCTCGCTTGTCCTGTGACGCAGGGCTGTGCTGGTGAGTATTGCCTTTGATTGCATAACGAAATGAAACCGTTTCTTGCCCCTTTTCCCCCCAAAAAAAAAAAGCCCCGAGACCCCCCCGCCCCGTTTGGGCTCCGTACAGCGTCAGGTCCACGTCGCTCCCGTGCGTCCCCTCCAAGCAGAGATCCCCCCGTGCCTTGAGTTACCTGCTGGACTTGTGCAGCACGGTCAAAGTGCCGAGAGGAAAAGTAAACCAGAGTGAAAAAAAAGCAAGAAAACGTTTTAAAAAAAAAAAAAGTTTTGGTAACAAGTGCAAAGTGTGTAAAAGAAAAAAAAAAMCAAGCAAAAAGGTGGCAAAGAAAGCACAGTTTCCCAAATATCATCACACATTCCCGCCCCCGTGCCCGCGTACGGCCTCGTGTGGGATAATTAGCGGGACGAGCGAGGAGCAGCGCGAGCGGCCGGGCCCTTGGGTGCCCTAGATCCGCTTTGCTTTGCCCTGCTCCTTGGCCTCCTGCGGGTCTGCTGCTTCCCGGGCGATATTCCCAGGATTTCCCCCGCCAGCCCCGCGTTATTTGGGATTTGAGGGGGGGTTCTTCCATGGAAGAGCAAAACCCCCCACTTTGGTCGTGCCCCGGTGTCCCCATCCGTGACCTCTAAGCACACAGAAGCACCTGGGGGAGCCACCACGGGGCTCTTCCCTTGTGCTTTTTAATGAATTCCCCCCAAAATAAGCATCGACACCTGCTGGGAACCTTAGCCGTGAAATACCCTGAGCCCTGCCCGTTGGAAATGAGCCCTTTTGGAGAGCAATTTTCCTGCCCTTTAGAGAGTTTTCCTGCTGCAGCAAACGAGCCCGTATCCAGGGATGTCCTTTATGCCTTTTCCCCGTATTTTAAGTATTTACAAGGGGACCTTTCTCCCTCACGATCCCCCCGCTGCAGCTCGAGGTTGCCGCAAGGCCGTAAAACTTGACGTTTTTCCCATTGATCCCAAATCCACCAGCAGAGCTCGAAAAGAGCGTTGGGATTAAAAGCGGCCCGGCCAAAAAGCCGTGAGCGCCGGTCGTTCCCAAAGGTGGGACCTCACGGCACGAAAAATCCATCCCTGGCCGCCCGGGACCCTTAACCGGGAGCGTTACGCTGCTAAACCTCTGTATTATTTTATTAAATGGGCGTTAATTAAATGTATGGAGGTGGTGGGCTTTACGCCTCCGCTCCCGGTCCCCATGAGCCCACCGTGGGGGTTTCATCCGTGCCGGGATGAGCTGGAAAAGGGGAAAGAGGGGCAAAAAAAGCAAAAAAAAAATTCCCTCTGAGGAATTTTGCGGTTTGTTTTCTGCTTTTTGAGGGAGCCTGGAACTGKGTGGAGGAAACTGCCCCTTTCCGGGGGCGATTCGGTCAAGTGGGGCTGCTGCTTTTGTGCAAGGAATAGTATCCCGGGATGGGAAAAAGCGGGGCTCGCTGCTGTGTTTGCGAGCAAAAGGCCCGAACTTCCTAAACTTCCCTAACTTCTGTTAAATACAACTTAAAATAATTAAGTTGGACCCGGCGCCAGAGGCGGGTTCGAAGCGGGAAGAGGTCCGGTCCCAATCCGGGCTTGGGATTTTCCTGCAGCCTTCCCAGCAGGATCCGCCGTCCCCCGGCCGAGCGCCCGGCTTGGGGCTRTCTTAACCTCCAGTTTCAATATTCCTTGGTCCCCAGGGTCCCGGGAATTTGGGTTGGGAGCCGCGCTTTGCCAGGCTCCGCTTGGGAATTAGTCTGTCATTAAGCTGCTGCAGTTGCACCCGGAGATGGGCTTGGAACGGGCGGAAAACGGGAGCTGCTTCCGAGGCCTCCGGCTTTGGTGCCGAATGGCCCCGGGAAAAAGAGGGATTTAGTGGCCCTAGGTGCGGTGTCGGCCTCTCCGGAGCATCCCGCTCTGCTCCTGTTGTGGGCAAGTCGGGAGAGCAAAGCCGGGAGCCGGGCTGGCTGAGCATTAGGGATGCAGGGAATTAGGGATGCAGGGCGAGCGCCCAGCGCTCTTCCAGAAACGTGGTCCGCTCCGGGGCTTTAAAGCGAATCTTTTCAAGCACATTTCCTTTTTATTAACCGTCCTCCGAGGAACTTTGCGGTGGATTTACTCCTCCGGAGCGGCTCGGGCAGCGGCCGTGACCGTGTCCGTGTGCTCCCTAGGGAGGATGGCGAGCTGGAGGAGGGCGAGCTGGAGGACGACGGCGGCGAGGAGCCCCCGGCCGCCTCCGAGCCCCGCGAGCGGAGCCGCAGGGACAGGGGCGAGAAGCACCACAGCGACTCGGACGACGACAAGTCCCACCGGCGCCTGAAGCGCAAGCGGAGGAAGGAGAGGGAGAAGGAGAAGCGGCGGGCCAAAAAGAAGAGGAAATCCAAGCACAAGGTGAGCTGCAGCGCTCCGGGAACGCGCTGCCGCTCGCTGGGGGGTTGGCAGCGTGCCCTGTGGCGTCCCGGGGCCTCGTGTGCCGCGCGGGAGCGCACGCAGGGATTCCCGGCACGGATGGGAATCGTGGAGGGATTCCCGGCGCGGATGGGAATCGTGGAGGGATTCCCG